ATGATTAAACAGTATTTAAGTGAGCAATATATCAATCTTAAATTTTATTTTAATTTGGAATTTCCATCTACCATAATGTATTTTGTAAATACTTAAAAGGGTTTGTTACTTTTGGCTTTCTTGGATTTTAAGTTTCAACGACACTGAGGTCATGTGAAAACATTCCTACTTAAGTGTAAAGAAAAACCCTAGATACCTTTTGTGAAACATTTCAAACACGAGCGGGAACCTGACTAGAACCACCGACCTTCCGTAAATTAGCTTGATAGATTCCTTACATACAAATAATCCAAAGTCATGATTTGATTCAAATTCAGCAGTAAATGAAAGATGATTTGAAATCGACGGCCTTATCCCGACTCTGCCACTTTTATGTACGTCCATCAGGCTCACTAGAGAAGATAATGTAATAGTCTGACCTTAATTTATACTCTTTCAATATTATTTTCTTTTTCAGAAACATGATAACTGCTATACAGGATGTCTGAAATAAAAAAACGACCTATAATTTAATAATGACAAAATAATCGTAACTTCAACAAAGAAGCATTCGAAATGACCCCATGATCATGATTTGATTTGAATGCTTTTGGTTCGAGATGAGAAGGGTCTTTAAACATTGCCTTTTTTCAAAATCTATGTTTTGGGCTTTCGTATCCCCGATTGCAACCGAAACCATTTGGACAACTTAATTGGTAGATAGTCATGTAAATTTCATCACATTTAATCAAGTAGTTACTAAGCGGATGAGATTGCACACACATGTGTAAGATCTAGACAGACGGGCGCATTTAACGAACAAGAAAATAGGTTCAACTGGTCATTTACTTTTAGAAACGTTTCTTAACATAAGGGACTAACGTCTTGCAGATTTACTTATTCTAGGCATGCATACATAATGTCGAAAATGAAGAAATTTAAAATGCGATGGTCTCTCGATTCAAATTTTCAAACTGTCAAATCTGCATATTTATGAGACAATATAGCGATAAATCTGCGGTGCAGAGTCTGAAGAAATATTTGGCTAGATACCGGATTCTGTTCCTTACAAGCAAAGCACAAAAACATCTTTTAGAAACTAAACTACTTGTAGTATGGACCGGTACCTGTCCTCCCAACAAATAATCCTCAATCTTTAAAATTCTATACTGTAACCGGAAAACGCGATACTGTAAAACGTTCCCTACAGTGATTGTATACGCACCGGTCTCTCAAATAGTATATTAATTAAAGGATTATGTATGGTGGCTGATTTACGCCATGTCGTATTTTCGCTTCTTCGCCTCAAAATACGAAAATGCGAAAACAGGAAAGGACGAGAAAGTTGGACTTATGTGTTCTCATGTCGGAGTAAATCTTTTCACGTGTAAAATGTCTTTTGAACATTACATTTCTAAGTTTCTATATTTGCAATTAAAAGCTTTAATTGTCTTTTTTGAATAATTTCATTTTTCTTGCGCAATAACACATTTTTTTCACTAAACTGACACTTGGTTTTCTATATGCGTTTCACAATAAACATTCACCATACCAGGTTGTACGATAACTTAAGTTGGTCCGTAAATCAAGCCTTTACCACAACATCAAACTTCATTCAGAATTCATGTCTCATTATTGTGAGCAAAATTCTGAGTTTCCTTTAGATATGTTAGATATGAGCAAATGCGAGGGGGTTATAGAATTAGTCTCCGTCCGTCCATATGTCCTTCCTGCCGTCAGTCCATCCACATTAATTTTTTTTGTCCGGATCATATCTAAAAAAGTATTAACTTGAAACTTCATTGGTGGAGATATCAACTTGAAACTTCATAGGTGGATAAATCAAATTTAAGAGAAATGCAGTGCACAAGAATGATAACTCTACCCTGCATAATTTTTCAGTTATTGCCCTTTGTGATTTTTCAAACTTAATTTTTGTCCAGAGCATAACTGAAAAAAAAAGCCTATGAGATGTCAACATAAAACTTCATAGGTGGTTAGATCTCACTTAGTGATAACTCTACCTTTCCTAATTTTTGAGTTATTGCCTTTTATTACTTTTTTAATACTTAATTTTCACCTGAATGGAGTATAAATTAAGTAAAAAAATTGAGATGTCAATATGAAACTTCATAGGTGGATAGACTTTGTGAGGAGGACTGTTGAGCGAAAAAAATGTTAACTCTACCCTTTTTATTTTCTAAGGTACTGCCATTTGTTATTTTTCATACTTTGTGTCCGGAGCATATCTGAAAAAGTGTTAGAGGTAACAACTTGAAACTTCATAGGCAGATAGATCTCATTGAGGAGGAGTGCAGCACAAAACCGTGCATTATTTTTCAGTAATTGCCTTTTGTTATTTTTCATACTTAAATTTTGTCCAGAGTATAACTACAAAAGTCTTTGAGATATCAACATGAACCTTCATAGGTAGATAGATCTTACTCAGGAAGTTGCAGTGCGCAAGAGTGATAACTCCACACTTCATAATTTTTTAGTTATTGCCCTTTGTTAATTTTCATACTTATTTTTTCACCTGAGTGGAGCATAAGTCAAAAAGTCTTTGAGCTGTCAACATGAAACTTTATAGGTGAATAGATCTGATTAAGAAAGAATGATATGCACAAGAATGAGAACTCTATCCGTTATAATTTTTGAGTTATTGCCTTTTGTTATGTTTTATACGTTTTGTCTGGAGCTTATCTCAAAAAGTGTTCGAGGTTACAACTTGAAACTTCAGATGGATAGATCTCATTTAGGTGGAAAGCAGCATATAAGAATGCCTTTTTTCAGTTATTGTCCTATGTTATTTTTCATACTTAATTTTTGTCCAGGTCATAACTAATAAAGCCTTTGAGATATCAACATTAAACTTCTTGGATAGATCTCACTCAAGAGGTGTGCAGTACACAAGAATGATAAATAACTGCTTTACTACATATACATGTACATTGCTCTTGTAACAAGTTACATTATAATACTTAAAAACCTTCTCAACAAGTTAACATGTCAATTCAGCGCAATGCTATTTGGAGACTTTTTGTTTTTGTTGAGGGTGTTTTTTCTCTTTATTTTTTGTTTTTCGCCGTGACAATCACATTGCTGCATTTGCCAGCAATTTTTTACTTGTGTGGCTATTTTCTTTTGTGTGGTTAAAAAGAACAATAGAGAGAACAATGGAGTAGCCACATAATTACTCTCCTGTTAGAACGTCCGTCCGTCCGTCAGTTAGCAACTAGGTTTCTGAAGCATAACTAAAGTTTCATTTGGCCCACAATATTCAAACTTCATAGGATGATTGTCCATATTGGGTAGAAGACCCCTATTGATTTTGGGGTCACAAGGTCAAATGTCAAGGTCATTATCACCTTAAAACTGAAAACAGTTTCCGAAGCATAACTTAAGTTCCATTTGGCACACAGTCTTCAAACTTTATAGGATAAGTGGCCATATTGGGTACAAGACCCCATTGATTTTGGTGTTACAAGGACAAAGGTCAAGGTCACTATTACATTAAAACTGAAAACAGTTTCCGGAGCATAAGTTAAGGTCTATTTTGCCCACAATATTCACACTTCAAAGGATGATTGTCCATATTGAGTAGAATACCCTTATTGTTTTTTGTGTCACAATGTCAAATGTCAAGGTTACTAATACTTTAAAACTAAAAACAGTTTCCAGAATATAACTTAATTTCTATTTAGCGCATAGTGTTTAAACTTCATAGGATGATTGTCCATATTGGGTAGAACACTCCTATTGACTTTGGGGTCACAAGGTCAAAGTTCAAGGTCGCTGTTACCTCAAAACTGAAAACAGTTTGCAGAGCATAACTTAAGTTCCATTTGGCCCACAAAATTCAAACTTTATAGGAGGATTGCTATTTGAAGGGGATAATACTTTATTTAATGTATGTAATGTCTTACAAATGCTTCATCCTTACTAAAAAAACACTTTCGGGCATATAATAATCCGCCAAGCGGTGCTCTTCTTAATTTATCTGTGCTATACACATATTCTTAAGTATAGGATCTTTATGTACATCAAACTCAAATTGACTTAAACTATTTATGACCTTGACCTTAAAGGTCAAATTATTGAATTTTTACTCATTATTGGTAAATTTGGCTGTAACTTGTAACTTATAAAAAGATTATCTTCCTACTTTGACTAAACAACAACATTCTCGACAAGACCTTGACCTTTAAAGGACATTGACCGTCCAGGTCAACTTATTGAATTTTGGTTAAATTGTCATAATTGTGTTACTAATGTATGGAATTTATTTAAATTTCGTCAAAACAAGACTTATTACATGTACCAAACCCTCATATCAAATAATTAATATGTGATACTGACTTTAAATTTACATTGTCAAGGTCAAATTAATGAATTTTTCTTGTTTCTTTAAAGGACCTTTTTCATGAGTTTGTTATTTAATTGCGGATTTGATTAATACGTGGACAAACAACTGAATTTTGATTGTATTTTCTAAACTTTGTCATTTATTTATAGAAAGGATTCATGCTACCAATGTTTTTCTTCAACTTTCTTATTGAAGATTTATTTAAACCGCTTATATGTTAGCTTTTAGAAAAATAAAAAAAAGCCAAGAGTCGTTTTTCGCCAATCTTGTTTTCTCATTGAAATTGCTGTAAAAGTTGATATAAGTTAAAATGTTTTTGCTTTCTTTCCATTTTAGAATCAACATGCCGAAAAAGAAGAAAAGTAGAGCAAAACTTGACGTCGAAATGTCAAGTCTTCAGATATTAGTTGAAAGAAAGAGGGCTGAAGCAGCAAAATATTGTAATGTGCAAGAACAAAATAAAGAAACAACCATCTACCCTGCTAATGAAAATAAAATGACAAAAATACAAGAAGAAATAAAGGTCCCTGCAATGAAAGAGGGCACGTAAGAACACCAATCGAATATTGAACGTGGAACAAGGGTCGGTTATTCATGTGAGTTATTGAACAAAACATCCAGTGGAGATGGAAATTTTAATGAGTTATATGAAATAATGGAACAAGATGAGAAGGAAAGTACAAGCAAATCAAAAGACAATATACTTGATGAAAAACACTATCATGTACCTGACGATGACTTTCAACGTGAGAATCCTGAAGAAGACGTGAAAACTGAAAATAATGAGGAAAACATAAGTGAGATTTTAGACACTATAGGCAAGAAGAAAAGAAGGAAAAAGATTAAATCTTCTCCATTTCATGATGAATTATCTAACAAAGCGTGTTGTGAGAATTATGCTTATAATGAGTCAAATGAAATAATGGAACAAGATGAAAATGAAAGTACAAGCAAATCAAAAGACACTTTACTTGATGAGAGACACTATCATGTACCTGACGATGACTTTCAACGTGAGAATCCTGAAAAAGACGTGAAAACTGAAAATAATGAGGAAATCATAAGTGAGAATTTAGACACTATAGGCAAGAAGAAAAAAAGGAAAAAGATTAAATCTTGTCCATATCATGATGAATTATCTAACAAAGCGTGTAGTGAAAATTATGCTTATAATGAGTCAAATGAAATAATGGAACAAGATGAAAATGAAAGTACAAGCAAATCAAAAGACATTTAACTTGATGAAAAACACTATCATGTACCTGACGATGACTTTCAACGTGAGAATCCTGAGAAAGACGTGAAAACTGAAAATAATGAGGAAATCTTAAGTGAGAATTTAGACTCTAAAAGCAAGAGGAAAAAAAGGAAAAAGATTAAATCTTCTCCATTTCATGATGAATTATCTAAGAAAGCGTGGAGTGAGAATTATGCTTATAATGAGTCAAATAAAATAATGGAACAAGATGAAAATGAAAGTACAAGCAAATCAAAAGACATTTAACTTGATGAAAAACACTATCATGTACCTGACGATGACTTTCAACGTGAGAATCCTGAGAAAGACGTGAAAACTGAAAATAATGAGGAAATCATAAGTGAGAATTTAGACACTAAAGGCAAGAAGAAAAGAAGGAAAAAGATTAAATCTTGTCCATTTCATGATGAATTATCTAACAAAGCGTGTAGTGAAAATTATGCTTATAATGAGTCAAATGAAATAATGGAACAAGATGAAGAGGGAAGTACAAGCAAATCAAAAGACATTTAACTTGATGAAAGACACTATCATGTACCTTACGATGACTTTCAACGTGAGAATCCTGAGAAAGACGTGAAAACTGAGAATAATGAGGAAATCGTAAGTGAGAATTTAGACTCTAAAGGCAAGAAGAAAAAAAAGGAAATAGATTAAATCTTTTTCATATCACGAAGAATTATTTAACATAACATGTAGTGAAAAGTATACTGAAAATAATGAGGACATCATAAGCGATAATTCAGACACTAATGATATGAAGAAAAAAAGGATAAAATCAATCTTCTCCTGAATACTTGAGCAAAACGTGTAGTGAAGATGAAATCTATAACGAGTCATATGCTGAAATGGATGAATTTGATATTGATGATTGTGATATAAACATTACCAGTGCTGATATGTCTAAGTTCCAATTCATCTTGACTTTTGATGAATGGTGTAAAATGCAGCCTGTTGAAAAGATTTATAGTAATGGAAGGAAAGTAAGACGCTTAAGCGCAATTGGACGGATGTTTTTCAGAAAAAAAACGAACAAATTATATAAAGGATGTGTTTTGGCATTCAAATCTCACAACATTAAAGCTGCTCGAAGTAGAAAAGTACTAGGAACCTTCCTCGTGGCAACTGCTCGATGTAAGGGGCCATTTATACAAGGGGAAATTTGAATTTCAAATTCACAATAATCCAAGCTTTGAATCACAGATAGTCGTACACTGCATGGTAAATTGCTGCATTCAGCACAATGAAAATGAAGTAAACCGAAGAAATATTACCGGAATTAAAAGACAAAAAGTAGCCGATGAAATTATGAAGTCATCATCTCTTAAAACGTATTAGAATAATGTAATAACAGATGACATTGAACAAATGAGAGAATGTCATTTCACAACTTTCCCAAATAATGACGTCCTACGAAAAATAGTATCTGAGGTAGTTCAGAAAGAAAATTTATACAACAATACTTTGGCGGAAATACAAATTCTACAAGAGAGTTACGATAAGGAAAACGACTCCTATATAAGAAACATAGGTCTTGATCCATTCACAGTTATTATGATATCTGACAAACAAATAAAATTAATGAAACACTTATCCGACAAAAACAAGTTAACTATTTACCTGGATGCTAAAGGTTCAGTGATATCAAATATTGCAGGACAAAAAAAAAACATTTTTATATTCAGCAGTAGTTAAACCAGAACTTCCGGCTGTTTCAATAGCTGACATGTTGTCAACACAACATACAATACCGAGGATTGAACTTTTTCTCTCGACACTTAAACGACAAATGAATATGATGGGTACAAAAATAAAAATACACAAAATCGAAACGGATTACAGTTTTGCTTTATTACAAGCGTCACTCATACCTTTAATTCTAGCAACTTGAAAACGTATCTAAATCAATGCTATGGAATTGTTAAAGGTAATGCGATTCCGGAAAACTTCACTATTCATCATTTATGTACAACACACATGATTAAAGACTTTAGCAGGCAATTTAAAAAATACAACCCAAATTCTAATTCTAATTCAAGAGCAACGCTAGGCGGAGCATTATATGCCCGAAAGTGTTTTTTTTTAGTAAGGGTGAAGCATTTGTAAGACATGGGAATTAGCTGTTCATCCTATAAAATTTTACAGATGTATGTTGATTAATACTTAAGTTATTAATAATGACCTTAACCTTTGACCTTGTGACCCTAAAATCAATAGAAGTCTTCGACCTTTTATGGACAATCATCCTAAAGAGTTTGAATATTGTGGGCCAAATGGAACTTTAGTTATGCTCCGGAAACTGATTTCAATTTTAAGGTAATAGTGACCTTCACCTTTGACCTTGTGACCCCAAAATCAATAGGGGTCTTCTATCCAATATGGACAATCATCCTATGAAGTTTGAACATTGTGGGTCAAATGGAACTGAAGTTATGCTCCAGAAACTGTTTTAAGTATCAAAGTAATAGTGACCTTGACCTTTGACCTTTTGACCCCAAAATCAATAGGGGTCTTCTACCCAATATGGACAATCATCCTATAAGGTTTGAACATTGTGGGTCAAATGGAACTTAAGTTATGCTTCGCAAAGTGTTTTCAGATTTAAGGTAATAGTGACTTTGACCTTTTGACCCTAAAATCAATAGGGGTCTTCTACCCAATATGGACAATCATCCTATGAAGTTTGAACATTGTGGGCTAAATGGAACTTAAGTTATGCTCCGGAAACCAAATTGCTTACGGACAAATTGCTAACGGACAGAATTTGTTTTCAGTATCAAGGTAATAGTGACCTTGACCTTTGACCTTTTGACCCCAAAATCAATAGGTGTATTCTACCCAATATGGACAATCATCCTATGAAGTTTGAACATTGTGGGTCAAATGAAACTTAAGTTATGCTCCGGAAACTGTTATCAGTTTTAAGGTAATAGTGACCTTGAGCTTTGACTTTTTGACCCCAAAATCAATAGGGGTCTTTTACCAAATATGGACAATCATCCTATGAAGTTTGAACATTGTGGGTCAAATGAAACTTAAGTTATGCTTCGGAAACTGTTTTCAGTTTTAAGGTAATAGTGACTTTGACTTTTTGACCCCAAAATCAATAGGGGTCTTCTACCCAATATGGACAATCATCCTATGAAGTTTGAACATTGTGGGTCAAATGGAACTTAAGTTATGCTCTGGAAACCAAATTGCTAACTGACAAATTGCTAACGGACGGTAACTGTTTTCATTATCAAGGTAATAGTGACCTTGACCTTTCACCTTTTGACCCCAAAATATATCCCTGAAGATAATTATGTCAATCCATTCAAAAATAACAAAGTTACAGCCAATAATTGCCAAAAAAATGAAAATTTCAATTATTTGACGGTTTTTTGACCTTCAAAGTCAAGGTCATTTATGAGTGAAGGTCAAGGTTTGGCTGGTTATTTTTAAGGGATATCCTTGAAGATTTTTATGTTCAAGTTTGAAGACAATCGATTCAAAAATAACAAAGTTACAGCTCTCAATTTGAGAGTGTGCAGTTTTTACATGGACAGACATATCTTATGTTCTTTTAAAGTTAATTTACCTGCAAAATCTTTATTCTTTGTGTAATGCCAGTATTGTATGCTGGTAACTTTGTCATCACTGTGCATTTTATTTGTAGACTTCACCAGACTTGATCCTAATTTCATGGTCATTTGTAGCATTTGTCAATGAACCATACATTAAATATGCATTCTGGTCCGATAAATATTAACCAGCCAGCCTGCATATAAAACAAACAGTGCTTGCCATTCATCTTTTTTAATGTTCCAGCGTTTACGCTACATCAGTACATGTACAGAATACTGTACTCGGGTATATTTTCCTTGCGTTTCCATCTTTATCAGTGATTATTCCACTATAATGTTTGTTAAATCCATTTGTAAAATATTAAAACTGGGTGTTAGGAAATATGTTAGCAAAGTCTGAATTAATAAACCCATTTTTTAAACACTTTAAAACACTTATAAATAATTGCTCACACGGAGCACAATCTTTATCTGTTGCATTGTGGTAATTAATGAGTCAGTAAGGGTCTGACTATCGTATTGATTTTTATTCCATATGCTTGTTAATAGTTATCGCTGCACTTTTGTAAAATCACTGTCAAAAACTAGGTTTATAACTCTTTAATATGTTTTATGATTGGGAAAAATGTCCCATTTGTGTTAAAAGTGACTGATTAATATTTGACAGGACATAAACCAGTGCAGGTGTGAAATAAAGGCACATAATACACAAGTGTAATAACACGTTGACGTGGCGTTATTTGCGCCATATTTTTTAAAGCAGCACGCCTCCAGATTCAAAATAATTTTCATGAAATGTTTGAAAATTTATTTGAATGTCTAATATTGTGAAGTAACCAAAAGGAAGCAATAAACGCATTATCAATGGCGCTTACAACCCACGTTAATTACCAAAAAGTGGTCAAAATATACTTAAATAGCCCTTACTGCGTTAGTAACGCAGTAGAAATATAGTTGTAAATACTGAAAAATCAGTCATTGATCGCACACAAAATGTAAAATATTACTTGAATCTTGGATCATTTTATCATTCCTAAAATCCTAGTACAATTTTATCAAGTTTGATTTTATTAAGATATTTTGACTCATCTGGAGGCATGTAGCTTTAAGGAGGTTAATGTTGGCTATCTGTGCGCGTCAAAGAAAAATGACGCTTTTTAACTGGTAACCATACTTACTTTGGATATGTAATAAACATAATATTTAAGTCGAAAAAAAATACCAAATTTATTTAACTCGTCGATAATAATTTTTTCAAGGTCATTTATGTGTCAAAACCATAAAATGGGTGATGACAAACGGATTGCCATGGTTTTGTTTGAAGTAAATCTGTTCTGTTGTAATATAGTTATGACTAATGTTAGCTTTATTGACAAAAAAACCTTAAAAATAAATGGGCATTCAGAGGTTAAA